ATTTGGTGAGCCCAAGGAGGACATTTGAGGGAGGGCTGCCTTGTGGAATGTGGGTCCATGTGCAAAGGCAAGTCCAGGAGAGGGTCGGAATCACTGACCAACATGTATGATTCCTTCAGATTTGGTGGAGTTCACAGATGAAGAGGGATATGGCCGTTACCTTGATCTCCATGACTGTTACCTCAAGTATATTAATCTGAAGGCATCGGAGGTGAGGCCTGCAAGAGGGGAGTTGTGGTCCTAGGGTCCAAGTCAGGATGCTGGGCTGGGACTACTACACGTGAAGCATTTAGTGTCTTCCTTGTAAATATTAAAGAAAATTGATAGACTTTCTTGGAATGAGACAGCATTCAGAATGAAAATCGTATTTACAGTAATGTAGAAAAGAAAACTACAGTAATGCAAAAAACATTTTATTTTATTAATACAAGTATACTTTATTTTATTTTATGGTACTGGGGATTGAACTGAGGACCTTATGCTTGCCAAGCAAGCGCTTATTTTACTGAGCTAACTCCCAGGTCCCCAATAAAAGTATACTTTTTTTTTTCAGAACCAGGGATTGAACTCAGGCCCTTGCACTTGCCAGGCAAGTGCTTATTCTACTGAGCCATTTCCTTGGCCCCTAAGTATACTTTTATAAAAATAAAGATTTTTGTAAAGCCAACAAAGTAATTGGCTGGGCACACACAGTTCTAGTTATGGGGTATGAGCCATGATCCCTGCCAGCAAAAGGCTACTAAATGTCTTTTCAAAAAACTAGAAGTAAATCTCTTCCTCATCCCCACACTTAGCGCAGACATTCAATAAGTGTTTGCCATGAATGAATGAATGGAACCTTCACAACCTTATTTTAGGATGTCAGACCTTTAACCAAGAGTCTGTTCAGCAGTATTTGACAAATACTTCTTTTAGTGTTATTTAAGTTGGTCTTGTCTTGTAGATGTGTATCAATATTCTTTATGGTTTAATGAACTTAATATTCCAGTTATTGTAGGGAATGAATGAAGGGAAAGAAAAACCTAGGATGAGCTTGGCTTTGTTAGGGACACTCAGTTTTGATCTCACTTATGGGCAATTATAATAGTACAGTGGCTTAACTGAGTCCTGTCACTTTTTTCTTTTCAGAAGCTGGATTATATCACATACCTGTCTATCTTTGACCAGTTATTTGACATTCCTAAAGAAAGGAAGAATGCAGAATACAAGAGGTAGGCCTTGCTAGCTCCTGGTTTTGATTAGAAATGATATAAAAGTTTGAGTGTAAAGTTCTGAATTTTGTTGCCTGATAAATGTACGTCATTGGTGGTTAAGAGCTGCGAGTAATATGGTTTTAAAGTATTTGTATAGGAAAGGCAAGGGAAGAGAAGATGAAAGGAATTAAGATGTATTACGTGTATGTATTAACTCCCAATGATGAATGTAATCACTGTGTAGTGCAGGCATGTAGTAATAAACATTAAAACAAGTAAACAGCTAGGTATAATGATAAATGTCTGTAACCACAGTATTCAGGAGGCAGGAGGATCGCCACAAGTTCAAGGCCAGACTAAGCTACAGTGAGACCCTATCAAAAAACCAAAGGAGCCGAGGATATATCTCAGTGGCATAGGTGCCTGTCTGGCAAGTGCAAGGTCCTGAATTCAATCCCTGGTACCAAGGGACAAAAAGGAAAGAGGTATCTGTAATACTGTGGCTTTGCGCAAGGCTGACGCTAGGGGCACATCTTTGATCTTAGGTCCATACTCTTGAACACCTAAGGTAGTGGTGGTGACTCTTTTAGAGACGGAGTGCCCATACTGCAACCCATAACCCTCTTATTTATCACAAAGTGCCTATGCTGCAATTAAACCTAAATACTGAGGTTTTAGTTTAGGAAAAAACAACTCTTATGTTAGTATCTTTTGTCTTACAAAAACAATAACATATGGGCCATAGTAACACATTCACTACCATTAAACCTAAGGCTTCACAGGCTGTACAAGCACTCTCCCACTGAGCTACATCCCCAGACCCTATATGTTCTTGATTTTCTCTAATTGCACATGAAAGTCACCCATTTAGGGAATTGTTTGGGGGATTTAATGGGAAAAAAACTAGACTCTCGCAGGTTGTGGCTGAAGTGAGATACCTAGATCTGATGTCAAGTAGAGAGTTACGTTTGTGTTAATTCTGCCCTGAAGCAATCCTGCTCTTCTGACTTCTGGTTTACTCATTTTATTTTTTGTTTGAGACAGTCTCACTAAAAAGTCTAGGGTGTCATTGAACTCACTATGTAGCCTGGGCTGACTTCAAACTTGTGATCCTCCCGCCTCAGCTTCCTGAGTATTGGGATTACAGGCAAGCACACATAGCTGACCCTTTTTTTTTTATTTTTTAACTTAAGATCTTTTGTTTGTAAGTTAAAACCTTAGTATTTGGTATTATGTCATGATGAAAAAAGGAGATAGGAAAAGTTAGAATCAAAATGATGCTGGGGAAAATGATCTTTTTTACTTTTCAAACTAATATGTGTATTTGTATTCTGTAGATACCTTGAAATGCTGCTTGAATATCTTCAGGATTACACTGACAGAGTGAAGCCCCTCCAAGATCAGAATGAGCTTTTTGGGAAGATACAGACTGAATTTGAGAAAAAATGGGAGAACGGCACCTTTCCTGGCTGGCCGGTGAGCTTCAGTAGGGACTGCAGGAGGAGGTCATGCCGGGGAGCTGAGCTGTTTTAGTAATGAGTCCCTGCTGCAGGATTCTAGATGCGGATCCCTCAGAATTAGATCTGGCTAGCAGTGTTCTCTGCCACATATGCTTGTCTTTGTGTACTTTTGAACAAGATTTGTCAGGACTCACTTGCCATTGACTGGGCCTGGAATTTTCACTATTCATATCATGACTGTTGTGGGTTTTTTCTGACCAAAAACGGACCAGATTATGTGGTAGAACTGTATGTATATTTTCACTCCTGGGTATAAACTTGAGTTTTTCTTGAACTTTCGGAGAGAAAAATGGGTCATTGTTTTCTTTGTTCTATTTCTGTAGGGGTTTGAGTCTTATTCATAGATGCATGTAAAGAAGGGGCCCAACAAGCCCTGGTAATTTAGATGACTTCCTTACCTTCATTGTAAGAAACTTGGATCTTAATAATTGGCCTATTTTTCTTGACAGAAAGAAACAAGCAGCGCCCTGACGCATGCTGGCGCCCATCTTGACCTGTCTGCATTTTCCTCCTGGGAGGTATATTTTCTTACCAATTGTACTGGTCTCACCTATCCGCCCTTCAGAGGGACCACTCACTTTCCTGTCTCTAAGGACATTGCACTGAAACAATAAGACACCATTTCCTACTAGGCAGCTACAAGGTATGTTGAAAGATCAAGGGAAAATACATGTCAGCTGGGCATGATTGCACACCTGTAATCGGGCACTCAAGAGACTAAGGCAGGAAGATCATCACCTTGGGCTACGTAGTGAGTTCAAGACCAGCCTGAACTACAAATAGCAAGTCCCTGTCTCAAAAAAAAAAAAAAGCAATAACTGGGAGTAGTCCTGTAATCCAGTGTAAAAGCCCTGAGTTCATTCTCCTGTATGGGACAGTGTCAGAGGAAATTTGATGGAACTCACATCTGACAGCTGATTGGTTTGGGGCTTTTTGGCAAACAGAGAACACACATATCTGACAACTCTGAGAACTGTGAAATAATTGTAACTACATTAAACCATAGTGGAGGTAATGGAACTCTACCAGTATGATCAAGTCCAAACAACTGCAGAGTCATTTCTGTGGAGAGTTTGCACTAATTCTAGGGGATGGGCTATGGGATATGCAGCCCTGCCACTGCCTGGGAATTCCCACACTCTAGCCTGCATTTATTTCCCAAAGCTATTCCTAACTTGTTTCTCTTTTGTGGTATTCTAACTTGTTTCTCTTTTGTCCAGGAGTTGGCCTCTCTGGGTCTAGACAGATTGAAGTCTGCCCTCTTAGCTTTAGGCCTGAAATGCGGCGGGTAAGAGACTAGTGTTTCCATCAGTGGGCTCATTTGCTGTGTCTTTGCGTTATCCTTAAGTGGCTTTCTTTACACTTTTTGTGTCACCACCTACTACAGAAATGCACGTACCTGTGTAATAAATTAATCTGAAATTCTTTGCCCTTCCTGTCTCCTTAGCACCCTTGAAGAGCGAGCCCAGAGGTTATTTAGCACCAAAGGGAAGTCCTTGGAATCACTCGATACCTCCCTGTTTGCCAAAAACCCCAAATCAAAGGGCACCAAGCGGTGAGTAGCTGGGGTGACCCCTGCTGTGCTTTTATAATATTGTTTCCATGCAGAATTTTATCCCATTGAGATTTTAAAGCCTGTTTTATCGCCAGTATCAGTTCATAACAGATCCAGTCTGGTCTTTATCTCTACTAATGGCTGTGACTGTTCAAGGGCGGAAATTTTCACAACCCTGAACATAGCTGATAAGCCTGATTTTTGCAGATAAAGACTCAGAAAAGTTGCAGACTGTAACCACTGTCTCACAGTTAGTAAGTAGCAGAATTAGGGTGTCATCCTGGGCTGCCTGCCTGCAGAGCTTTATTCTTTGATACCACGTTGCCTTTGTGAATATCAGGACGAAATGGTCTTGATAGGTCTTTTACCATACAGGTGAGGTCGTAGCGCAGTGGTGGTGGGCCTATGGCATGCACACATGCTACTGATGGTTTTTGGTTTTTGGTTAAGACAAAAGGTACTAAGGTGTGACTTGATTTTTCTGAACTAAAACCTAAGCATTCAGATTTAATTGCACTGTTGACACTTAGTTAAAAAATGGGTTTGGGGTTGCAGTTTGGGCACTTGATCTCTGAAAGACTGGCTACCACTGTCACAGAGGAAGCCTCTGCATTTTAAGAAAGAACCTCAGGCCTTCTGTCTGAATTATGAGATGAACAGAGCATTTACTTTCACAGCATGATATTGTGTTTATTTTGAATGCGATCATATAAGAAAAATTCCCAGGGGCTGGAGAGATGGCTCAGTGGTCTAAAGCACCTACTTGGAACAAGCTCGGCAAAGCACATGGACCACGGTTCAATCCCCCAGCACCACATGCCAGCCAGCCCCGCCCCCTGGTGGGCTGAGCTGGCCACACACACACACACTCTCTCTCTCTCTCTCTCTCTCTCTCTCTCTCTCTCTCTCTCTCTCTCTCTCTCTCTCTCTCTCTAAATGTAAAAAATAAAAAGAAATGAATACATTCTTTCATTTAAAAAAAAAAAAAAAGAAAGAAAAAGAAAAATTCCCAGACTGATAGAACCAAGCTTTGGGTGAAAGAAAGCACCCTTGAGTGATAGTTGGTTTCTTCTCTTCAGAGATACTGAGAGGAACAAAGACATTGCTTTCCTAGAAGCCCAGATCTACGAATATGTCGAGATTCTTGGGGTGAGTATCCAGCTCTGCTAAAGACTAGAAAGGCTGCAAAATATGGGAGGAAGAGAGATAGGAACTCAGGTGGGGTTTTGATTTGTTTTGTTTTTTCAAGTTCAAAATAGAAAGTGATATGTGATTAAACTAGTTCTGCAGAAAATACAGTCCTCTGGGGTCCGTGGCCCTTCTGTAGGTTCTTGTTCTGTTGCTAGGTGCTATTCTCAAGGCTGCTGAGTTCCTGTGTAAGGCCAGGCATAGTCTGGAAGCCTCTGTGCATTTTAGGAAACAACCTATGACAGCATTTACTGTCATAGCATGATGTTTATTATGTGCTTATTTTAAATGTGCTCATGTAAGAAAATCTCCTAGATTGATGAAACCAAGCTTTGGGTAAAAGAAAGCACCCTTGTGTGATACAGCTTGTTTCTTCTATTCAGAGATACTGAGGAAGTCAACATAGTACCCAGAATAGTACAGGCTCTTTGCCTGAGCTTCACCATATACCAAGAGGAGTACAGTACAGATGACAAAAAGCAGGCATTCAGATGTAGCAAGAGAAAGGTTGAAATGACATTACAGGAAGAGAAGAGCAAGAAACTTAGTGCAGAGCTAGCTGTGAACATTATCTTGGGAGGTGGAAAAATGCATAGTCTACCCAAGAAGCATTCTTCAGAGAAAGAAAGGGAGGAGTGGGAGGAACTCTGTTTTGCTCTCCAGGAAGAGATAGTGGCAGAAAGTTCAGCCTGTGTGGAAAGAAGATGAAGTGTCTCAGAGTGCTCTGGTGATGTCTGCTCTGTGTAGTTGTTAGCTGCCTTGGCGTCTTTCCCCATACATGTGCTCGCAGAGCCGCCTTGAGTTGTCAGTTGCCATGGACATGTTCATTTGCCTTTGTTAGAGGACCTACCTAGGTATATATAGGTTGCTTGTTTGAGGATAGATTATATATATGGATGTTGCTGTGTGCCTCTTCACCTATTGCGTCTTTTGTGGCTGCTTTCATTGTAAAGTTAGCTAGCATTAGACTCTGGGGAGACATAGTCTTTACAGTAAACTTGGGCTGTGCCATTGTGGCTAGCAGTCTGGGTCACCAGTCCTCAGCTGGTAGGGATGCCACTGCATCATGCCCCTCACCTGAGGTGTCCCCAGGGGGTTCTCTTGTCTCTGAGAGTATTTTGCTTTCCCTGCAAGGAGGCGGCAATACTCTCTGGAGTTCTGTGACAGTCCAGCTTAATGATTTTCAGTTGTTCTCATTATGTACTGATAAGATTGTTGCCATCACTTCACTCACCATTTATTGATACCTGCTGACTTTCAAAGTGCTTTCTTGGTATGTGTGAGGCTGTGGCTTCCCCAGATGTCCAACACAGGCAAAAAGAAGAAAAAGAACGCACCTCTAGATTTGGCTTGATCAGTAGGCAGATTGAGCAGCAACATGAAAACTGCACCAGAATGGGACGATTCAGCATGTTGTAAAGTGGTCATTCCAGTGAGGACAGCAACAACAAGAGGAAGGAAAAGAAGAGATGAGTTGAAAGTACAAACAGAAGAAATGAGTCTGTTCTTTTGGTCTTTATTTCCTTTGGGATCAAGTAGGGCATGCTGATGAGTTCTGAAAGTAGAGGCAAGACTATTCCTTAAGTAAGGAGCAAGGGTTATAGGAAATTTCCCTTCTTGTTCTGTACATCTTACTTGGGTTTTTCATTTATGTGCTGCTATAGGAACAGCGACAGCTCACTCATGAAAATGTACAACGCAAGCAAGCCAGAACAGGAGAAGAGCGAGAGGAGGAGGAGGAGGAGCAGATCAGTGAGAGTGAAAGTGAAGATGAGGAGAATGAGATCATTTACAACCCCAAAAACCTGCCCCTGGGCTGGGATGGCAAAGTGAGTTGCACACCACTGCTCTCTCCCCATTTCCCCCTCTGGAAGCACATTGTAGACTGTGTTAAACTAATGACATTTCTTGTTTTCTTTTAGCCCATCCCCTACTGGCTGTATAAGCTGCATGGCCTAAATATCAACTACAATTGTGAGATTTGTGGAAACTACACCTACCGAGGGCCTAAGGCCTTCCAGCGGCACTTCGCCGTAAGGAATTCAGAGCCTTTTCTCTGGGGAATGAGAGTTGAAATGGGACATATTTGAAGGAAAGAGTAGGAGCAGCCTGCAGGAACCACTGTTGTCCAGCATGAGGGGAAGAATCATAGAAGCCTATGACGTTTGCCCTTTGGTACCAATGCTAGCCTTGAATGCCTGGGCCAGTTCCTGAGCCTCATTTTGGGTTTCGTTTGTTTGTTTGTTTTCTTTCTTTCTTTTTTCTTTTTTCTTTTTTTGACGGAACCAGGTATTGAACTCAGACCCTATGTATCCCATGCAGTCTTCCTACCTCAGCCTCCCAAGTGCTGGTATTAGAGGCATGTACCACCAGGTCTGCTACTCTTTTGTTTGTTGTACTTCTTTCTCTGTGGGATTTTTTTGTTGTTACTGTTTGCAGGAGGAGAGGCAAGTGGACTGTATTGTTGGTTTTTGTTTTTGTTTTCCAGTTTTGGGTATTGAATCTAGGGTCTGTGCACTGAGTGCAGGGCGTGCATCCCCAGCTATTTTTAATTTTAAGACAAGGTCTCTAAGCTACTGAGTCACCCAGGCACAGGCAGGACTGGGATATAACTCCTGCGTCAGCCTCCCAGAGTGCTGGGGTTATGGGCATGCGTCACTATACTTCTGGTACTCTGTTTTTGAGACAGGGACCTACTTTGTGGTCCAGGTGGACCTTGAACTCACTGTGTAGCCCAGATTGTTCTTTAACTCACATCCTCAACCTTCCAAATGCTTTGCCAGCATTTTAGATCATCTGACTACTTGGTCATTTATTGTATCGTGAGGACTGAGGAACAAGAAAACTGTCTCCTCTGCTGGGTTGTAAATGGACCTTTGCCTTTTTGAAAATAAGAAAAAAGAAACTAAAGTGCCAGTATTTTAATCTGTTCTGGCACAAGACTTTACATCAGGGTATTCTAGTACATGGGCTTATCCTTTTTTAATTTCTGCCTTCACTTCTTAGTACTTGAGAAGAAATTTTACATAGTAGAAAAGATGTATGCTAGACCAAAGGTGGTGATTTATTTATGTGAATTCCTCTAGATACATGTTGCTAATCGGTTCCAGGTCTCACTGAGTCCCTGAGAAACTCTTGAGTCTTTCTGCATACTATCTCAGATGGTTGGAGTTGGCAGCCAGGAGCCAAAAAGATCACTACCTCAATGTCTCTTCCTGCACTGTCACATTGTCACTTACATCTGATAAACACTCTTCTTTACTTACAAAGATCATGCTGCCTTGTCATACTCTTTATGCTGGTGGCGGGTTCCTGGCGTTGTGTCCCTTCTCCTGTGTCATAGGGGATGACAAGTTACAGTTGTGTTGTTTTTTTGTCTTGACCCAAAATTTGTCTGCAACATTACTGAGTCTAGAATGTCAATTTTACAAACCTGAGCCAGTGCAGTGCTACTTTTCTGATAACAAACCATGAAAGGAATGCTGCCTTTGTTTTGAGTTCTTTGAAAAGGGTCAGGCAAGGGCTGCTGGGTAGCATGGAGCTTGTGCTCTTTCAGTTGTTCTGCTTTACATTGTCCTTCTCTTTCTTTCCTTCAGGAATGGCGTCACGCTCATGGCATGAGATGTTTGGGCATTCCAAACACTGCTCACTTTGCTAATGTGACACAGATTGAAGATGCTGTCTCTTGTAAGTATGCTTGTTGGCTTCTTCCCTAGGCCAGAGCAGTTACCACCATTCCCCGGCCCACTTTTTTTTATTATTAATTTTGTTACTTTACTTCCATCTCAATGCTTTCTCTCCTTTTTCTCCCTTCCTGCTCTTTTCATTTTTTTCTCATTCTCTATAGATCACTCATATGTTCTTTATGGGTTTTTTGTTGTTGTTGTTTTTGGATTTTTTTTTTGGCAGAACTGGGGATTGAACTCAGGCCCTTGTGCTTGCCAGGGAAGTGCCTATTCTACTGAACTGTCTCCCCAGCCTGGTCCTGTATGACGTAAATAAATAAATTTTTTAAAAACTTAAAAAGTAATTCCAGGATTTGCAAGATAGTTAAGTGCCTCCTTAGGCAAATGCAAGGACTGGTTCAATCCCTGCTACCACATGTCGCACTGGCCTCACCCCTGGGTACACTATGCTAGCCACTGAGACCAGGCATGGTGGTACACGCCTGTAATCCCAGCACGGGAGGCTGAAAACAGTAGGATCACTATGAGTCCGATCTGTGCAGTGAGACCCTGTACCAAATACATTTAAAAAAGAAAAACCTAATTCCATGTCATCCATTCTGTTTGCAAGAGTATGCTTATCTAGCCATGCTACTTTTCTACCTCTGCTTTCTTCACATTCTTGTGTCTACTGACCTTAGTATACAGTGAAGGGAGCTCTCGCCTTTTCTTTGTAAGACCTTTTCTTGATTTTCAGAGTTTGTCAATATCCAGCTCCCAATCTTTTAATACTGGGAAAGACACTAGGGATAGGTGGCAGCAGTGAAGACAGTTACTGTACATCCAGTGAGCTGCCACTCCTGTAGCACTCATTAGGTAGCACATCCCTTCAGTGCTGCTGGACGACATGTTCTCGGGAGGGAACTCTTGGTGCAGCTCCTACCTTGGATATCTCAGTTTTAACTCCTTCTATGAAGCTTTTCTTTTCTCTCCTTACAAATTCTCTGGGAGAGGGAGACACTACTGTTGCTTAGGTTACACTTGATTTTTTTTATCATAAGTGAAGGATTTTACTTATAAATATATATTAATTCCACTGTTAAAATAGATTTATGCTTTTTAAAGGTTTTTGTTTTGTTGGTTTTAAGGTTTTTTGAGATAGAGTTCTCACTGTGTAGTCCAGGCTGGCCTTGAACTCAGTTTGTGGCCTAAGATGGCCTCAGACTTGCCGTCAGCCTCGTGAGCACTGGGAATTCAAGCATGCTCTCTGCTACTTGACTCTAGATCTGTGGAGTTTTGGGGTGTTTTGTTTTGTTAGTTTGGCTGAAAGATACTTAAGATTGTGGTCTTGTGTGGAGTTGCAAGACATTCCCATTTAATGGATTATTCACAGATTTACTAGTATACTAACTACATAGAAATCTGGGGCTGAGGAGATAGCTCAGCCGTCTAAGTGTCTGCCTGGCAAGTACAAAGACCCAAGTTCAATCTCCAGACATGGTGGTGCATGCCTCCCAGAACCAGGGCGGCTCAGACAGAAAGATCACTATGAGTCCAAGCTGTGTAGCAGGATTCTAAATAAGTAAATAAATAAGTGATTTTTAAAAATCTGCTTAACTCTTTTTTTAAAAATTTATTTATTTATTTATTTATTTTGTGTGTGTGTGTGGCCAGCTCAGCCCACCAGGGGGTGGGGCTGGCTGGCATGTGGTGCTGGGGGATTGAACCGTGGTCCCTGTGCGTTGCTAAGCTTGTTCTAAGTAGGTGCTTTAGACCACTGAGCCATCTCACCAGCCCTTAAATAACTCTTTAAGTTCAGACATCACTTGCTATCTTACAATAATAGCATAGGAGATTTACATGTTTTTAATGAAATCCAGGGGTATTATCTATAAAAGCAGTTGTTCTACAAAAGTTATGGTGTCCCGGGCCGGGGAGATGTCTCAGTGGAAAAAGTGCTTCCCTGGCAAGCACAAGGGCCTGAGTTCAATTCCTGGTTCTGCCGAACGAACGGAAGGAAGGAAGGAAGGAAGAAAAGAAAGAAAGGAAGAAGTTAGTTAGTTAGTTAGTTAGTTAGTTAGTTAGTTAGTTATGGTGTCCCATGTCTGTAGCTTTTTGTTGTGTGGACTCCCATCAAAAATAAATCCATCAGGCACAGTGGCACACATCTGTAACCCCAGCTACTCAGGAAACCATCTGAAGTTTGAGGATTGCTTGGGCAATTTAACCATACCCTGACTCAAAATAAAATTGAAAGGGCTAAGATGGTAGCTCAGTTTCCTAATTCTGAGAATAAAACAGACAAAACCAGGAAATTTACTTAGTTTGCTTGACTTATTCTTCATAAGCCCACACTGGCACCCATGGTGATTACATTCTTTTCTAATAGCTTCCAGATTTTTCTGAAGAGTAACATGGATCTTACTGCTCTCTTCTTGTTTTAGAAAGTCGTGGCAGCATCTTTCAGTGTTTTAGTACTGTTCTGGGTTGGTCGCTTTTTTTGGGAGACCTAGGCAAAGAATATGCCAAAGAAAGGCCCTGATTTGTCACGGTAAATATGATGTGCATGTCATTTGTGGCCTGAAGACTGCAGCTGGCAAAGAAAGAAGTGATGAGTTGGAAACCAAGGTGCCAGGCACAAACCGAGCATTTTCTCACACATCATCTCATGTACTATTTTCTCATCTTAGACTTTTTTGTTGCTTTGTTTTTTGAGACAGGCTCTCACTATGAAATTCAGGCTGTCATTGAATTCAATGGATAGCTCAGGCTGGCCTCAAAACTCTCGCTGATCTTCTTGCGTCAGCCTCCCAAATGCTGGGATTACAGGCGTGGAACACTAGGCCCTGCCTCCATTTCAGCTGTCACTTTCTGTGGTATTCATAATTTGTCAGAGATTGTTCTACTTGATAAGAAATACAGCAGGAACCAAATAATTTTACCTCCTCATTATCATCTGTTACACTTGAACTGTCTTCTCTCTGTAGATGCAAGCAGTCTTGCCTACTCCATGTAGACATTTGTCCTGCCAGTTTACCTTCCTCACACCATGCTAGAGACTCAAGTCATTTTTTTCCCTGAGTTCGTATGTGTCCTTTCTTGGGTGGGTGTCTGATCATACCCTTTGAAGGTGTAGGAATTTAGCAATGCCTTTATCTTTTCATCTTCAAGGGAATAACTTATTCTTCATCTTTCAGAATTTTTATTTTAGTGCCTGTATTGTCTATTTTTTGTTTTTGTCATTTTGAGACAAGGTCTTACTGTGCAGTTCAGACTGGCCTAGAACTCACTTTGTAGCCCAGGATGGCCTCAGACTTGTAGCAGTCCAACTGCCTTCCTCCCAAGTGCTGGGCCTCCAAGTGCTGTGCATCACTGCATTCAACCTGTATTCTGTTGAGCCACATTTCCTTTCAGGCTCTTTGGCCGCAATATTTGTCTTAAGTATTCATCAATATTTATTTATCTATTTTTTTCCTCCACTGAAGTTTTTGAAATATATGGACAGACTTTAAGCATCTTTGACAATATCCAGTATCCTTTTTCTCTTTTATGAATTTTAAGACAGGTTACTTTCTCGCATAAGTTCTATTATTTGTTCCATGTTAACTTTTTTTTTTTTTTTTTTGGCAGAACCAGGGGTTGAACTCAGGCCCAAGCACTTATTCTACTGAGCCATCTCCTCAATCCCATGTTAACTTTTTTCCTCATAGAGTATCTGTTTTTTAATCTAAGAGACCTTTGGTTTTAGTTGATCTATCTTTCCTTTTATAACAAATCTAAAGTATGGTAACTTTCACAATAAAAGGAGTTTTGTTTACAGGTGGCCCAGAACCAAAATTCTAGTCAGGGCATTGGAGATTCTAGGGTAGAGTCATTCAGGGGGAGCCTGCTGGGGTGGGGACTGGTGAGCACTGTGTGCCTGGTAGATGACCAGTCTTGATTCCTACTTATTTGTCACCCTGCAGTGTGGGCCAAGCTGAAACTGCAGAAGGCTTCAGAACGATGGCAGCCTGACACTGAGGTGGGTGCTCATGTGGACAGCATCGGGGATAGCGTCAGTGACAGCTCACACCACATAGGAAGGAGGCCGGATGCTCCTTGCCTTACTGCAGTAGCAAGTGTAATCTGCAAAGTCTGTGAATCAGCTTTTGAAATATAAGTCTAACTTGGTTGGGATATTTTTTATACTTTACGTCTTGAGACAGGTTATATTTGCCCACTGAAATTTTGAAGTGGCAAGCGGGAGTACCCAGTCTCTTCTCCTGCTACAAAGATTCATAAATGTAGGCATTTGCATCATACATTAGGTCTCTTTTGAGAAAAGCATCTAATAAGAGACGGTCCTCCCTGAAGGGCTGGGAGGTGTCCTGTCGGTCTTGAGAGGGTCATCCAGCACCAGGTCTCAGCCCTGAGGATGACACACATAGGAAGTTCGGTGGTGATCCCTAAGTCCTGCAGGGACTGGTATCAGGCTTCATTTTAGGCTAGTAGTTTTCGTATTTCTAGAGCAGCAAAGCCCTTTCCAACTGTAATGCAGAACTCCAGGATATAAAATAGAATAAAGGGCCTGGGGAGATAGCTCAGTAGAATAAGCGCTTGCCTGGCAAGTGCAGGGTCCTGAGTTCAATCCTCAGTACTGCAAAAAAAAAAAAAAAAGAATAAAGCAGAGCTGCTCTGGAAGTGAGAAGCTGAGCACTCTATGCCTGCCTGTGAGTCCCTGATGTGGTGCCTGGACAGAAACCTGGACTTTTTGAGAACCATTTGAAAGCTGCTTCTTTAGGTTAGCCTTTCTCAGCCAGTGTTGTTCATCATAAACACGGAGCAGTTTGAATAAGCTCTTTTCCCCAGTAACATCATGACCGGTACAGTTCTTGATGTCTAGAAGAAAATTTAATTCTCTGGCACCTCAGTTGAGAAAGGCTGTCTTAGATAAACACCAATCTCAGGGTACCAGAGTACGCTGCAACACTGGGTATGCTGTGGAGATTGGTTCCACGCATTTCTCTTGGGGAATATAGCTAACAGAGTGTACCCCTTCCTTTTTAGGAAGAGTATGAAGACTCCAGTGGGAATGTTGTAAATAAGAAAACATATGAGGATCTGAAAAGAGAAGGACTACTGTAGCGCTCAGGGATGTAACTCAGTTTCTGAGCTTGAGGTCTTCCCTGAGGTTTGCATTTTCTATTTCTCCCAGCCAGATGCTCTTAAAGACTCTTTGCTATGTAGTCCCATAGTCTGGCATGCATCTTGTAGAAACGAGGCATGCTGGCAGATTGCAGGGTTCAAATGTGTTTTATCTTTGTTTTATATTAAAAAAGATTCTGTGGGAAAATAAAACCAGCCTTTGTTTTCAATGTGTCTTGTTTTGAAACCCAAAACTAATGAAACTAATGTAATCCTGTAGTTCTTAATGCCTCCCCTACCTCTTTCTCACCAACTTTAGTAGCAGCTAAGATTAATGAGCATTCATTAATGTTGGGTATGCCCCTTAATGCCTTTTTCCCCTCCCCCTCCCCCTTTGCTGCCACATCCTCAAGTGAGCATTCACCTGGTTGAGCCCTTGCCTCAGCTCAGTCCGCCATCGGTGCATCTGCTAGGAGAGGCAGCCAGGACTGTTCCTAAAGACCAGGTGTGGCCCCACAGCTTGCCTTTTCTGTTTGCATAAAGAACTGAGTTGGGTGTTTGGAAATGGACCAGCAGCCTTCTGCCTACCCCTCCCTCCATGACATGTAATGGAAGCAGGAGCAACGTGACTTCACCTGCTTGCTGGTTCACAGTAAGAGGTTTTGGTGATCTTGTCTGCCTGTTTCTTCCACAAGACCCTTGTTTGGCCGCAGAGGTGTCTGATGTTCTTGTGTTACCCAAACCCAGACAGTGATCTCCCTGTAAGCTCAGTCCTCTGAAGGCCAGTGCCTGTTCCAGAACGGATTCCCCAGGTGCCCTTTTTTTCTCGAAGCACTCAGCTCTTCAGTTTGTTGTTCATATGTCTACTTTTAAAAAATTCACCCATCTACTTTTAAAAAATCCACCCCCCAAAGAAAAAAGAAATAAAAGTTCCAACTCTGGTGCAGTGTGTAATCTCAGCACTCAGTCTAAGGCAATAGGATTGGCATGAGCATGAGATCAGTATGGTCTACAGGGCCAGGGAGATAGCTCAGTAGAGTTAGTGCTTGCCTGGCAAGTGCAGGGTCCTGAGTTCAATCCCTGGTACTGCAGAAAAAAAAAAAGAATATGGGCTACATAGTGAGTTCAACAACAGCCTAAACATAGCAAGACCCTGCCTGGGGAAAAAAAAACCCAGCTCTGCAACTGGCCATCTTCCTAGTAACACTATTGTCCTTGTCATCTTCATGGCAATGGAGATTGCACCACCTCTACCTCTTTGCTTTCCTTCCTGATCCATCTCATCCCTTGGGCAATAACTCACCTGTGTGTGCTTAGCCTCCTTCAGTTACTTAGAATCTAGGTTTTACACCTCTACAGGGCCTAGGGATCTAAAGCAAAATAAGTGGATAATTAAACCTGATATGCCGACTAGAAAGCCATTGCTGAAACTGGCCAAGGGTACAAGGAGACCCTGCAGTTTGGGAAGTTAGTCTTGAGAATGGGGAGCGTGGGAGGAAGCATGCCTCCAGCCTTCCTGTTACAGCTGTGCTGGGATTCCCAGGAATGATCTGCTATCTTCCTGCAGTCCCATTCTTCAAAGCAGGGTTAGTGCAGTAACTGGGGGGTGGGGGTCAAGTCCTGCTATTACCCCTGCAGTTAACCACAGTTACTCTGTAAACTCTATGCCAGCACACCCTTGGAGGAAACCTGGGCTTAGCAATGGCTTCTCTGTTCATTGATTACATCCTGACAGTTTTGTCAGGTACTGGTACCCACCTATAATCCCAGCTACTCGGGAGCTAAGGCAGGAGGATCTTGTTTTGAGTCCAGCCTGGGTCACATAACAAGATTATCAAAATAAAAAGGGCTGGGAAGCCAGGCATGGTGGTGCACACCTGTAATCCCAGCAGTCAGAAAGCTGAGGTAGGAAGATCATCGCAAGTTTGAGACCAGTTTAGCTGCAAACTGAGCTCAAGGCCAGCCTGAACTGCCTAGCCAGACCATTCTCAAAAAGACAAAGAGATGGGGGTGAGGCCTGGAATCTAGCTCGGTGCAAAAGCCTGGGTTCAGTCTCCAGTACCAAACACATATATACATAATTATATGCATCCACTGTGTGCCAGGCATGGCTGGATTTACAAACCTGAAAAATTAGGTCAGGGTAAGATGGGAGCAGAAGCCAGAAGTAAGGCAACAGTTGCAGCATTCTTCATCGGCACTGCTGGGGATGAAACCCTCAGCATTGTATAGGCTGGCCAACCTGTACAAACCACTAGTGGAACTTCCTAGTGTTCTGATCCAGTTAAATAAGGCACCTTCCCTTTCTGGTGGGATATTGGCATGAGGTTCCCCGACCTGCCCAAGCTGCTGACTAGATTTAGGGCAACTCCTTGCCTTAGCAAACATTCAAGTTGCAAACTTTCACAGGTGTACCCTACAGTTGGCTTATGAACAAAGCCAACTTATAATTCTCCCAGAAAGAAACTCACTTATAGTAAGTCAGAAGCGTACTTTATTTTCTCCTGACAGCAATCTGGACATCAGCTCTGCTTTCTACCTTTTCATGTGGCCCTTATGTGTCCCCAGTGGCAGCAGTATTAGAGGGAATTCCCAGAAATGGCAAATGGAGAGGTGGAGAGACAGCTGCCAGCTTGCAAGGGCTGCACTTGCAGCCTTCCTGATGTGTGCATATCCTCCTCCCCCCACCACTGGGTGTTCAGGTGTCTAAAGCCGGGTGGGACATGGAGAGCACTGGGACTGTCCTCTAGCAGGGGTGGAGTGGGGTCTGCCCAGACTAAACTGGATGAGCAAGAAACTCCAATTAAGATGGGCCAGGAGGAAGCCAGCTAGGCTTGGCCCAACCCTTCTGATTCTGCTGCATACTTGACCCTGTCACACTCCTGACTTGTCCCTGCAGCTCATCTACCTAAGCCACGGAGGCAGAAGAAGGCTTGTGTGGGAGGCCTAGTCTCTTGTTTTCACAAGGACACAGGGACCTAAGTAGAACCTTTGGGCCCTTGACCCATTAGCCTTTGGGTTTATTATCTCCTCAGAGAGGTGCTGACTGGGTGAAAATGGTTTCTTAAATGGCAGAGCCACTCCTTGGGAGGGAACCATGGGGAAGATAAGGCTCTGGTGGCCACCGAGGGGTATGGATGGAGAGAGAAGGGGCCCCTGTAGCCAAGGCTCACCTCAGCACCCTGCATCCTGAGAATGGGCCCACTTGTGTACCCACCCATCAGAGGCTAGTCCCGAGGAGGTCTTTGCTGCTGCAGGCTTTCTCTGTCACAGCACCCTGGCAGCTGACACCTGGAGACAGATCTGATGGCTGGTGAAAGACAATAGCTGTGAGGGTATAGGAGCCCATATCTTGTCGCCCCTGGGAATGGTAGGATCTGGGTTGAATTTAGCCTCCTGGGGTTGGAAGGAAAATTGGGAATAATGTGCCACTCTCACGTCTAGCTTTTCTAGCTTGCTTAGAAAAACCTAAACCTAGGCTTAACACTTGCAGGTCCAATCTCTCAGATCTAGGGCAGGGGGACCAGGGAGATGGCTCAGTGGATTAAGCACTTCCCTGGCAAGCGCAAGGGCCTGAGTTCAATCCCTGGTTCAAAAAAAAAAAAACAAAAAAAACAAAAAAAAACTACTAGGAGTCAGAAATCTGGAGTTTGAGAGCTACCTCTTGCCCTTGGCTCAGCTCTAATTTAGAGACAAGGTGAGATCTGGGCCCTAAAAACCTTTGGACATAAAAAAAAAAAATAAAAATAAACCTTTGGACAAAGTGAGCCCTGATTCCTGACCCTCTCTCTCTGGCCCAGGGTTTCTCTGGCCTACTAGGCTCTGAGGAAGCCCATTACCCCCTTACTCCCAAGCATCTTCTGAGGTTAAATGCAAATAAAGCCAAATCAGAGGCCCTGGTATCTATTTCCTGTTGCTGCACCTGCTCCCACTCTGCCTCCCCTGGGGCTTTGGATGCCATCATTGTTGTCATGCCAACAACCACATTCATTCTCAAAGGGGCAGTTACTAGGATGAAGGTTGCTTTGTGCCTACCTCGTGCTGCCCTCCGAAGGTATGATTTCCAAGACACAAAAGCTAAGGTCTTTTCCCCTACAGATTGGCCTCTCGTGTTCCTCAGCCTTGGTTTGTTCATCTGCATGAACCAATAACCATTATCTTTCCAGCCTTCACCTGGTTTCCCAGGGCTGCTCCTTCACCTTCTCCAGCTCCTGCAACACCTCAGCAGGTATCTGAGGCCATGGTAGCCAAAGAGCTGCTTTGCTCAGAGGTAGCTGTCTGCAGCCCCAAGAGCCCAGTTTTTCCTGAACCCTATGACCAATCTTAACCCAGGCTTACTGCTGGACTGCATAACTGCCTATATTTTGCCCTGACCTCATACTGCTTCCACTTAAGCACTGCTGGACTGTCCTTGACTTGTGACCTTTGGGCTGGTGACTCCTTTCAGTGGCTCATCATCTCCTTTTCCTCCTGCTGGTCTTCCTGGCTCCTGTCCCTGTTACCTGAGCAATGCCCCCAGGGGGTGAGGCTGCTGCATTCAATCCCATCCACAGACAAGTAACAGTATCCATTGCTTCTAAGAGATGAGCTACCAGGAGCCAAAGTTCCCCAAGCAGCCAGCAGAGTGCAGGCCTGGGGAGCACTGTTGTGAGGTGTGGTACTGGGACATGACGGGGTACCAGTCTGAGATGAAGAGCAGTGACGGGGGCATTGGAAGGGCTGTGACATTCAGATATAATTAGGTGCTGGGGAAAGAACACATGAGGGAAGGAGACTGCACTAGTGATGCTGGGGAGGAGTCATGCTGTGGCCCAGGATTAGCTGTCCCTGTGTTCTTTGTGCCCTCATTCCTCTTTCTCCAGCCAATTCATCTCATTCTCCACTATGCAGACCCATGCAGCCTCAGTTAAGAAGAAGGAACTGAAACTTGTCCCAACCCTGGCCCACTATGCAAGACTCGGAGCCCAGCCCAGTGGTGCTGTACTGCACCACTGCCTGGT